CAAGTCTGGATGCCAAAGGCCCTTATTTAGCTTTTTGGTGAAGGATGGGGGTGAGAATCACTTGACAGGATGTCACAAGGTGTGAAACCCCCATTTGAGGAGGACAGTGAGAAATAAATTATATTTCCCGGGAAAGAAAGATGTGATTCTTCAGCACATTTCTATTCGAATTCCTTCCTGACTGCTTTTCAATTTGTTTGCTTGAAGGACATAAATACAATCCAGGGGAGTTCTAGAAAGTCAGGCCGACCTTGTGGGGCGCGTGAGGGATGGAAATCGCGCAGAGGGGGGAGGGGGGAGGGGCCCATCGAGGGGTAATGGATTTGCTTTCCAATTATCTTTGCCTTTTGAGAAGTTTTTGAGGCCTGACCATACTTACTCTTAGAGGCTCTATATTGTTACAAGGCTCCTGAACCTCCCTAGGTGGGAATGTGGACTTATTTCCGGAACATTCTAAATGCGAGGAGGAAGGGTGGGCACAGCTGGAGCCGTGGTGACCCAGGTCATCCTCGAGCACAGCTCGGGCTGGGGGCCGGGTAGGACCCAGTGGCCACCCTTGACGGGGAAGACGTGTTCCCCAAGTGCAGGGACTAGACAAGCCGAGCCTGATGCCAGCCCTGAAAGGGACGGCCGCTCCAGCGAGGCCCCTCCTCTGACACTGCTCCCAGCACGCAGGGGTGGGGAAGGGCACTGACTGGCCCTGCAGAGGGGAGGCCCAGGGGCTCAGACGGGAAGGGGGGGCCGTCACCGACTCCCTAGGGCCCTGGCTGGGGGACGCACCGCCAGCCTGGGGGCAGCTCTCCAGGCCTGGGTTCTGGCTTTCTGCTCTCGGCATTTCTGTTCTAAATGAACAATCCCATTTCCTGAGCATCCAGCCTCTGGCTGGGTGTCTGGCTGGCTTTTATCACATTGGTTGGCAACCGACTGGTCATCAGATCCCGCAAGGCCACCCTGGTTTCACAGATGAGGAAAAAGATCCCCAAAGCTGGGGGCCTCAGCCCAAGGCCACACAGGAGGGACAGGAGAGCCAGGGCTGTCTTTCTCACTGGACCACGCTCTCCCCTATAAGTTAGTGACCGCTGCTTTGAGGATGTAGAGAATGACCCTGAATGCGTGCAGGTGTTACAAAACTGCAAAGAACGGTCCCTAGGCCAGACGGCAGAGGCTGGGTCCAAGGCGACCCCATCAGGCTAGACAAAGCTTCAGAAGGCAGCGGTGCTAGAAGGGCCGCTGCCCGGGCTCACGGGCAGAGAATGGGCTCCTTTCAGGATCCTGGTCAAGAGTAACCCAATGAGAGCACCCGACCGCCAGGTGATCAGCGAGCACCCCCTGCCTCCCCCTGCCTCCCGGGATAATTACGCGCGGTGTGCGTTCACTGGGAGACCCACAACTGCACCTGCTCATGGGGCCACAGACTCGGGAATCTGTCACCCGCTCACCCTGGAGCCGCTCCTCTCCTAGGATGACAGGAGACGGGCAGGGGCCGGGGCCCCATGACTGGGGCTCTGGGCTTGGAGAGCCACCTGTCCGCCCAGTACCGGAGATCTGCTCTCACGGGGTCAGAATCAAGGCTCCTTTCTCTGCAGGGTTTCTGGGGCACAGAAGGAATCCAGCCAGATCGTGAAGCTACCCTAACCCGTGACCGCGTGCGTGTGTGTCTTCCCCAGCACGTGGTTTCTCGGTAAGGGAAGTTCTACTTCTGAACAGAAGAGGCTGGACTATGCATTGGTGTCCTCACGGTCACTTCGCAGAACTTCCACGAGAACCAACGAACACAACTCGACCCCCTTCCCAAATTGGTTATTTCTAACACTAGCCCTGGGTTTTGGCTTCCTGGCCTTGGTGTTACGTAAGGCTCTAAGATGGGAATGATAGCATCGTTGGCGAAGAAAGCCCTTCTGGTCTGACACTGAAATATAAACAGATTAGCCATCAGTCACTTTATTTTAGAGGAAAACCCTTGAAAACCACCACTGCCTTTCCTCTGTTGCCAAAACTCGGGCTCAGGAAAGCAGGCCGCCTCCCGAAGCATGGCTAAAAATAGCAGAAGAAGGGTCAGGTTTTCTGAGGAGGAATCAATGAAGTCCCCGTGCCGGAGAGAGGGAAGGGGTGCGGTGGGGGAGGTGGGGGGAACCCGGTCTAGCATTCAGGTCGTGAAAGGCTAAGTGAAAAAAGGAGTCATTTGGGAAAATATTATATTATAAACACATATAATAATATGTACACACTCATATACATCTCGAAGAGAAGCCTTACAAGGAATTCTGTTTCTTTTCAAAACGAGGCTTCGCTATATGATGGGCGTTCCTATAGTGGGAATTAACTACAGTGAAATAATTTAAGAATTTCATTTATACTATATCTGCGTTCACTACGTGAAGTCTACGCTAAAGGCTGTGTGGAGGAGAATGTGTCCAGGTGGAATAGAACAGTAATGAGTTCTTCAAAAATAGGCAGTGACATTTTTTTCCCCTATTCACATTTAAAATAACTACACAGTGATGAAACACAGAATTAAAAACCAGGGGGAGGAGCAGGGACCTGTGGTCAGGGCTCTCAGCCTTCTGAACCTATCGTTCCTGGAGCCCGCTGGGCTCCACGCAGAGGAAGCAAGGTTACAAATGTCCCTGAAACACTGACCCACATATAAATTCTGTGTAAAGCTTTATTTTTTCCCCACCTACTTGAATTGTGGTTTTTTTTTTTTTAAAGTGAAAGAAGAGGGAAAACTCTTACAAAATAGAAGGTTTCATATATGAGAGCAGGGGACTTCCCCGGGGTGGGGGTGGGGGGGCGGCCACTGGCCTAGCGTGGCCTTGCTTTCTGTGCTACAGCAGCCCAGAGGCGCCTTCCCATTGGACGACCCTCTCCTCCCACATACTGCTAAAGCGCTCCAGGCAAAGCTGCCCCTTTCCTTTTTAACCCAGGGTGTCACGATCTGGCCACGTTGAAGGTGGCTAATGTCTGAAAGCAGCCCCGATGGCACACAGTGACGGCAGACCAGGGGACGTGCTGATAACCCAAACGGACGGCCTGGCCGCCAAGTTAAGCCTTAGCGATTCTCACCGGCCGGCAGGTGCCGCAGAGCCGTGGGCGGCCGGTCGTGACCTGCCTGTGCAGAGCACGTGGGTCTGGGATTCGCAAAGTCGCCCCCTGCTTTGCCACGGCCCCTCCTCTGGGTCGGCAGAAGTGCCATCAGATCGAAATGATGAGAAATCACATGCCGCCTTCCTCTTCTCTAAAACGCTTCAGTGTCTGGTTTTTTTTTTCCCCCTTTCTCGATTTTAATAAGCAAATTGTACTACTATCTTCTTCTGATGTGTTCCTTTTTCAAAGCTGTCTATCACATTAATGGAAGTGTTTGCTGCTGGGAGTGTTTTCCATGTACAATGATCTGTAACCCTCTCATCTCAACTAGTTGCACATTATTAGTTCACATCTAGTTCAGTTTATAAATTAACAGAGGTGACATTTGTCTGTACAAAAATCAATGCATATTTATGAACTTCTTTTATTCAAATAGATTTTCACAATCTTATCTAAAGACATAACACAGAAGCCTGGGTGATACTCCGGCATGGCCCAGGAGTGACTGAGACCCAAGACCTCCACCTTGGCAA